TTGGAGTTTGTAGTTTTCTTTCTTTCTTCTTCTTCTGAGCGGAGGAGAGTCGACGTCAGTCGATGCGGCGTTGTTTGGGGTGGGGGGGGGGTAGGGTTTAAGAAGTCACACTGTCTAGGGTTTTAACAGAGCGAGAAATGAGAATATTATTTATATAGGGGGTGGCTGATGATTGAAGCTGGAAGGATATAGAACCAGAGGGTTTAGGGTTTATGGGTAAGAGCTTGCTGGTGAAATGGTGTGGAGGAATTAATGGGCCATATCCAAATTTTGGGCTGACAGTATGGGCCATAACAAAATTGGTTCAGAAATATACATAGGCCCAAAGAAAATAATTATTACAAGGTCCGAAAACAAACCTATATAGGGTTTAGTTGGATTCGGAAGCATGCATTTCTCCTTGGAAACGTTAGGTTCTTTATGAGTTAATTTGGTGAGGTAGATTAGTTCAACTTTAAAATTCTTGCTTTTACTTTTTCTTAATGTTACCTGATCATGCCCAACCACGCCTTATAAAAAGAATTAAGCGGTCGTTGCAAATATAATCTGGTTTACAAGTCCGAAGTCGAATCACACAGAGAACTAAGGCTTAGCTACAGTTGTTCACTATCACCAAGAATACAAGCTTGAACAATTCCTAACTTATAGATATTAAGATCCTTGTGTTTAACTAACTAACTAACAAATTAAAATAATAAATTAACACTAAAGATACTATAGGTTGGAGATAAGATTAAGGAGGTCTAGAGTTATGATTTCCCCAATTGTTGGAGTCCTTCCCGCTATGTCTTCTATAATTTCGCCTAAGTATTCTCTACCGATCATGAGCACTCTGCGTGTTATAATTCTCTCCCGAGTAATTACGACTAGACATACTCTCCCGAGTTACGCTAGCTGGCTTTAATTACAGCTCACTTAGATCGCACCCAAGGTTTCGTTATCCCTAATCGCACCTTTAAACCCTTGGTTATTGATTCCTCACATACGTCGGGAGTGATGTTGTTCAACAACTACCTAAATATGCACTCTCTCCCGAGTAATACATACTAAATAGGCATAGCTAATTGAGGGTCCTTCAATCAACCACAAGAATAATATAGTTGAACAAATAGAGAAAATAGTACAACTCAATTATATAAAAACATAACAAGAATTTATCCTACAAAAGGTTCTATCAAAATCTTAGATGACAAATTAGCTATTCATACTAGTATGTAAAACTACAATACTAAAAGTCATAACCAACAATGAAAAATAGGAAGAGGAAGGAAAAACTCGTAGAAGAATTTCCCGCCTTGCTCCTATTGTGTCTCTGCCTCCTTAGGTTGAATCTGTGTCAAAAATTGGTCTCCTCCCCTCAAAATATCGTTTTTCCATGTATATATACCAAGTAGGGTCGGGACCAAACAATTATACCTTCTACTACGCAAAAAAGGACATGTTTCCAGGCCTGGACGTCCGCGGCCGCAGTCCGGGCGCGGTACGGGCGCGGTACTTTGCAAGTCTACTATTTCAGTCCGCGTCAGGTCCACGGTCGCGTTTTCGACCGCGTTTTTCACCCTTTTCCGTTTGGAATTTGGAAAAACATAAAACATGAAAGTTGTAGCCCTTTGAGTTAGCTTTCCAACCATATATTGTGGAGCTCAAATAGAGTTTTGAGTGAAAAGTTATGTACATTTTACTAGACAGTGTGCAATATACCTACTCGATTCTTCGTTTTGTTGCTCTATCATCCGTTGATCCCCGAATACGATCCCGGCTTAATTCCTTGGGCTTTTACTCAGACTTCAAATCTCTAAACCACTTGAATTCATTCCATAACATCTATATAGCTCGGAATCGCTCCTACAGGCATAAAACACACCGTTAGTGCAAAACACTAGCGATTAAAGCGCAAACTCAACTAAAGTGCAGTAAATTAGAGTGTAATAATCGACTAAAATATGTAATTAACTTCTTAGAGTAGCAAGATCAGCTTTGTCATTGTCCTGATCCAGTTAGTAGGCTCCTTTTTTTGTATGTGTTGAAGAGTTTCGGGTTTCTTATATTGTACTTGTCATGACCTTATACTTTGATATTTGATGAGTGATCTCATTTTCACAATGAATTTTCCCCTCATGAGAGCTCTTCTCACTCACTACAATATGGACTTAATAATTGTTAGAATACATCGATCTCACTCTTTGATTTCTCAGAAAGATCTGATTTCTCAGCAAGAAATTCATACAGAAGAAGAGAAGAAAATAATCGATAAAGAAGAAGAAGGAAAGAAAGTACCAAAGGTTTTGGACAAAATAATTTCGGACAAAACAAAGCTTAGTCCATTCTCTGATAAGCCATGTGACAAGCCACGTGGCATCATCTCAGCCAACAAACCAAATGATGAAGCTTTTAATCTGGACCGTCCACTTCTCACATGCACACAAAGGCTCACATGCTGAAGGAATATTAATTAGTTACATTGTTAGAATTTAGCTAGTAAAAATAAGACACGTGTACATAATTCATAGGGTAGTTTTATTTTCAGATTCTTTTCTAGGTAGCTAATATCTGTATAAATACATAGTCCTCTTGTACAGTGATTCATTCAGAAATACGCAGAAATTTTCACAATCATCTTTCTCAATTTCCTACAAGGTATCAGAGCATTAAATCTTCTTTTCAATTTTCTAAATCAGCCATGTCTCCTTCTTCCGATGTTACTGAAACTCCCACTCCCACCCACAACTCTTCATCCACAACAACAGGCAGTGGAAATACCATCGATTCCACACATCCCTTCTTTCTTCATGCATTTGATGCACCAGGGATGATACTTGTCAACATACCATTTGATGGTCGAGGTTATGCCGGATGGAGCAGATCTATCTTGATTTCACTATCAGCCAAGAATAAGTTGGGTTTTATTGATGGATCATGCCTTATGCCAACCCCAACTGATCCTACTTTTCAAACCTGGAGCAGATGTAACCATATGGTTACATCATGGTTGTTAAATTCTTTGACCAAAGTAATTGCTGACAGTGTCCTCTATTCAAAAACAGCTAAGGATCTATGGCTGGATCTGGAGCACGGGTTTGGACAACTAAATTGAGCCAAATTATATCACCTACAAAAGGAGCTAGCTGGTTTAGTTCAAGGTTCAGCAGATATTGCTAGTTATTTTACCAAAATGAAATGATTATGGGATGAGTTGGACACACTCAACACTGACATGTACTGTTCTAGCAACTGTGAATGTGGTGGTAAGAAGAAAATGCAGCAATTTAAGGAAGATGAAAGGCTCATTCAATTCCTCATGGGATTGAATGAGACCTATAGACAGGTTAGAAGCAACATTCTCATGATCAAACAATTACCCTCAGTCAATCAAGCATATTCTCTTCTCATGCAAGATGAGAATCAGAGGGAAATTCATGTCAATCCTCATTTCCCAACAGATGGTTCTTCATTCATGGTGAGAAATCAAGCTTCTCAGAACCATCAGACCTCTATTGGTTCTCAATTTTACACTCAACAGAAGGCTAGAAACAATTCCTACAAAGGGAACTCTGGATATAAAGGGAAGAAGAATGCACAGATGTGTTCTTATTGCAAGATGACTAATCACACAATTGAAAACTGTTATAGACTTATAGGTTTCCCTGCTGATTTTAAATTTACTAAAAGCAAGAAGATGCAACATACTGCAAAAGGAAATTCAGCTGCTGCAATAGAGGATACATGAGAGGTTTATAGCAAGATGGCAGGAGGACCTCAGTTTGCTCAAAAACTTTCATCAGACCAGTTTAATCAATTGGCCAGTCTTCTGAATCAAATGCAAACAGGGCAGGGAGGCACTTAGGAGGTTAATGCAAATTCTGCTGCTGGTATATTACTTACCAACTCCCCAACATGTTATTCAATTGCTAATTCTAACCTTGATAACTCCTGGATCATAGATTCAGGAGCAACCGAGCAAATGTGTTTCAATGCTAGTACATTCTTATTCTTAATACCATTACCTACTCCTTTAATGGTAAGGTTACCTAATTCCTATAGTGTTAAAGTCACTCACTCAGGCAATGTTTCCTTATTTCCAGGATTAGTGTTGGAACATGTTCTTCATATTCCTAGTTTCAGGTACAATTTACTCTCTGTACATAGGCTTTGTCAAAGATTCAAGTGTCTATTGGTTTTCACTTCTTTTGGGTGCATTTTGCTGCAGGGCCCTCTCATGAAGAGCCCAAAATTTTTTGGTGAGGCTAAAGAAGGACTTTACTTATTACAGCCTAATGTGACAGAGTCTAGGAACCTATCTTCACAGACTGCATCATCTTTGTTTAAGAAGTCTTTTTCTAATTCAGTTTCAACTTCTTTTTCTTTTCCTATCTTAGCAAAAATAGAATCTGACGTAAGGTTATGGCATGCAAGATTGGGGCATTTGCCTTTCAATGCAATGAAACACATCAATTCTATTTCATTTCTTTCTACTCCTGGTTGTGATTGTGATATATATCCTCAAGCAAGACAGTCTAGATTACCATTTCCAATTAGTCACATCAAAACTAAACAAGCATTTGATCTGATTCACATTGACACATGGAGACCTTATACGACACGTACTCATAATGGATACAAATATTTTTTAACCATTGTGGATGATTTCAGTAGAGCAACTTGGACTTATTTGTTAAGCACAAAGAGCAATGCATTTTCTGTCTTAAAATGTTCCTTAAGCATGGTGGATAGACAATTCAATGCTAAAGTGAAGATTATCATATTAGATAATGCTTTAGAATTAGGAAAAAGCAACTGCTGCCTCTATATTTCTGCAATCTCAAGGAATTATACATCAGACTTCATGTGTGGGTACTCCTTAACAAAATGGTATTGTAGAGAGAAAGCACAGACATTTGTTGGAAGTGGCCAGGGCTTTATTGTCTCAATCCAAGGTGCCTATATCTTATTGGGGAGAATGCATATTGACAGCTACTTTTCTTATCAATAGCTTCCCCTCTAAGGTGCTTAAAGGCAAAACTCCCTATGAAGTATTATTTGACCAAACACCCTCCTATTCTTTCTTAAGAAGTTTTGATTGTTTATGCTATGCCTCTACTTCGTCACATCATAGAGGGAAATTTGAACCTAGGGCAAAGGCATGCGTTTTCATGGGATATCCTATTGGACAAAAAGGCTACAAACTATTGGATTTGACTACTAAGAAACTGTTTGTTTCAAGGGATGTTCATTTTCTTGAACATATTTTCCCATTCACCTATACCACTTCTCCTACACTAGACCTCCCTTCTCCATCAGTTCAAATTCCTTTAGTTTTTCCTCATCCTTCAAGCCATTTCATCCCTGACACTTCTCCTCAACACTCACTTACACCACTATCTACGCCCACATCTCACACCCATCCTAGTTGTCTTCCTACACACCCTAATTCACCTGTTGTTTCACCTGCTTCCCTTAATTCCCCTACTCCTTCTCCTGTTTCGTCCTCTCCATCTATTCCCCTCAGGAGATCAAACAGAGATAATATAGGCACCCTGCCTGGTTATCTTAAGGACTATGTTTGCAATAACATCTATTTCACTGATCTTACCACTTCATGTTTTTCTACTCCTTGTTCACCACCTCCATTCTCTTTTTCTGCCCTCTCCACCTCTAATCAGCATCTTATTCATTCACTCTCTACCATTTCAGAACCAACCACTTACAATCAGTCTTGTTCCAATCCAAGTTGGGTCCAAGCTATGGATTCTGAACTCCAAGCTTTGGAAGAGAACCACACCTGGGATGTGGTTCTCTTACCTTCTGGCAAGAAAGCTCTTCCTTGTAAATGGGTCTACAAGGTCAAGAACCATGCTAATGGCACTATTGAGAGGCTAAAGGCCAGGCTGGTTATCATGGGTGATATGCAAAGAGAAGGCATAGAAAATGACTACTATCAGGTGTTTACATTCTATTGCAGTCAAGAAAGGGCGGCCTATTTCTCAATTTGATGTAAGTAATGCCTTTCTACATGGGGAGTTACAGGAAGAGGTTTACATGAAATTTCCTGCGGGTTTGTCTTCCCCCAGTCCTAACCATGTTTGTCGACTTAAAAAGTCTCTTTATGGCTTGAAGCAAGCTTCAAGATAATGGTATGCAAGACTTGCCGGAGCCCTCAGTTTTAAGGGATTCTCTTCATCTCTAAATGATTACTCCCTATTCTTTAAATAAACAGGGGATCTCATTTCCATTGTTGTGGTATACGTGGATGATATACTAATTACATGCAATAATTTTGATGAATTATCAGATCTTAAAGCATTTCTACATTCTGAGTTTAAAATGAAGGACCTTGGGCCTCTTCACTACTTCTTAGGCATGGAGATTTTAAGGGAGCATGATGGAATTATTATAACTCAAAGGAAATTTACCACTGACCTGCTTGCTCAATTTGATTGCTCCACTCTCCCACTGGTTTCTTCTCCACTTGATCCATCTTCCAAGTTGATTGCCAATTTTGGAGTTCCTTTATCTGATGCTTCTCTCTATCGTCGTCTTGTTGGCAAGCTCAATTATTTGACTCACACGCGGCCTGATCTTTCATTTAGCGTTTTGACTCTCAGCCAATATATGCAACACCCTTGCATTGGGCATTTCACAGCAGCTTTACACGACCTTCGTTATCTTCGCTCTAATCCTAGCCAGGGTTTGTTCCTCAATGCTCGGCCCTCTTTTGATTTATTGGCTTTCTGCGATGCTAATTGGGCTTCTTGCCATGATAGTCGTCGCTCAGTCAGTGGGTTTTTCATCAGTTTAGGGGGTTCACCGGTGTCTTGGAAATCTAAGAAGCAAGCTTCTGTGTCTCTATCTTCCGCTGAAGCAGAGTATCGTTCAATGCGTCGCCTAGTGGCAGAGCTTACTTGGTTAACTCGTCTTCTCACCGATCTATCTGCTCCTCCTCTGATTCCGGTTCCAATTTTCTCTGACAGCCAAGCGGCCATACATATTGCTCGAAATCCCGTCTTTCATGAGAGAACCAAACACGTTGAACTCGATTGCCATTTTATAAGGCAACAGTTCCTTTCCGGCCTCATCTCCCTCTCATTTATACCCTCAAAACTTCAACTTGCTGATTTATTCACTAAACCCTTGTCAGGGCCTTCTCACAGATCGATCATTGGAAAGTTGGGGGTATCTTCTATCCCCTCCAACTTGAGGGGGATGTTGGAATATATCGATCTCACTCTTTGATTTCTCAGAAAGATCTGATTTCTCAGCAAGAAATCATACAGAAGAAGAGAAGAAAATAATCGATGAAGAAGAATATGGAAAAATGACCAAAGGTTTTGGAAAAACAATTTCGGCCAAAACAAAGCTAAGTCCATTCTCTGATAAGCCATGTGACAAGCCACGTGGCATCATCTCAGCCAACAAACCAAATGATGAAGCTTTTAATCTGGACAGTCCACTTCTCACATGCACACAAAGGCTCACATGCTGAAGGAATATTAATTAGTTACATTCTTAGAATTTAGCTAGTAAAAATAGGACAAGTGTACATAATTCATAGGGTAGTTTTATTTTCAGATTCTTTTCTAGGTAGCTAATATCTGTATAAATACATAGTCCTCTTGTACAGTAATTCATTCAGAAATACACAGAAATTTTCACAATCATCTTTCTCAATTTTCTACAATAATATGCGTAGGGAATATTGGAATTATTGTTTGAGCAAAAAAGTATGAGACCTTTTTTGTTAAACTAATTAAATAAGAAGATGGAGATTAAATCCTAGTTAAGGATAATTAACTCTAGATCCGGGATGAATAATATGAATAAAAAATTATAGCTAAGTATAAATACTGGCAATGATTCACTACAACATATTTGATTGTTAGCGATGAATTATTTTGTCACCAAAAACTCATATTTCGTCACAAATGTATTTTCGTGTCACGACCCAAATCCACTACGGGTCGTGATGGCGCCGGACACCGTTGTCAGGCAAGCCAACTAAATTATCAATTAGATTCTCTTTTAATACCTTTAAAAATCTAGGATTTTTCCTTCCATTTTTCATAGATAAAACAAGTCTCTGCTTTAGTTCAATTAAAATAATGACCACTAGTACACATCTTTCGAAAACCACCCCAGAACCCGGTGTCACAAGTGCATGAGCATCTACTGAAAAGGATATAAAATATAATACAACATCCGTCCGAAATACAATGGACAGAAAGAAAATACAATTTACTAGAAGGGACTTTAAAAGCTGCGGGCCGCCTCGCATACTGCAACTCACCTAGTCCCCGAATCGTCCGTGCTGCTATGCCCAGTAGGCCGCTAAAGTAACATATACCTGTGCAACAAAAATGCACAGAAGTGTAGTATGAGTACGTAATCAACGTGTACTCAGTGAGTATCCCGCCTAACCTCGAAGAGGTAGAGACGAGATGGTATACCTGGACACTCTCTAGCGGTCCAATAATAATATACTAAATGTATGAGGAAATCATGGATTCATATAGCATGTTCTAATTCACAAAGTTGTAAAACAGGTAAAACACCTTATAACAATTAACAAAGGATTTTCAAGATTTACTCTTCTTTATCTTATCAATTTATATCAAGCCACGAAGGGCAAATTTCACGTTTAAAAATTCTCAAGTGACAAATAACATGCGCAAATCACACCGAGTCGACGGCCCAATCCAACAGAAATGTAAACTGTGCACTGCCGATGGTCGA